ATCAGTAGGTAATTGAGCAGTATTGAATGTTAATATTAGATGTTGAGTATTTATTATCTCTGTACCTTTTTTAATTGTTATATGGCGCGCGTCAATAACACCTTGGTTTGATAGTCCTTCTAGGATTTCTTCGATTGGAAGGGACTGGAGAGCTTTATCAGAAATTACACCTTTAGAAATATTCAATGTATTATGAGGTGTGACTGTTATGGGTATGTTGCCTATAGTTTGTGTTTTTAAGAGTGAAGTAGTCTGTTTTTCAGAGATAGTTTCCACTAATAAATCACCTGAGGGAAGCTGTTTAACATGTTTGGGATTGCCTATTGAAGATTCAAGAGACTTTTGGACAAGAAATGGGGATACATTAGATAGTTTTTTTTCGGTTGAGCTCAATATTAGGAATCTGGCTTTAGCTGGGTCGTAAATTGGACATTTAGATAGGTTAAAACTAGGTAAAGGGGTTGTTCCGCTTTTGTTTCGGTGTGCGGAACTCAACACCATCTGTTCATTATCTGCCATACAAAAAAATAAATCAAGTTCCACTATCGGCGGCACCACCCACCACGGAGTCCAACTTAGGGGATGTGAGAAATAGATAGAAATCTGTTACTCAACAACGATGCTAGCCAATAGCTATACGCCCGAAGGTCACCCCTGGAGCAGCCTCCACCCTTAACGAGGTGCTCAGTAAGTGACCCCGGGCTTGACCCTAGCCAACAGATGACATTCGTGACTGGCCGATTGATGCATACAGGCCAATATGCACCTCCCGTTTACCTGGAGCAGGGGCCAAAGCAGTGTATTGGGGTACCAGGATGCCCCTCAACTACCAGGATCCCCTTTTCCAAGGACACGGGTCTCCACGCACGGCGAACACGCGGGTGGTTTCTTCTCATCAGGGTTCAATATAACACCGAGCCAAGACGAAAAGTCCTTACCAGTTAATCTGGCAACCACGATAAGGATGAGAATTCATAAACATATAATGAATTGCAACAAAAGGAATAAATATATCAACGTAATGAAAAAACTAATCAAAAGTTTAGAAACCAATGTTCTGTAAATGATATCCAGAATTTTATAGTAAATAAAATAATGTTCGCTCACTAGGTCAATAAAATGATAAAGTGAAAGTCAGGAACTCAAAACAGGACCGTCGCAAGAGAGATATTGAAGTATGCTAAGGTCCAGCTCGGGGCCCCGGGTGCGCCGTACCCGTCACACAAGAGTGTGCCCTTGGGGGGAGAAATAAGAGAAAAATTGAAACATTAAGCAAGAATAAATAATACTAAGCATTAGTTAATCCTCAAACATAATAAACACTAAATTTTCAATAAGCAACTTTTTGCATGTCAATTTTTAGTTAAAACATTATTATACATAGTTTTTGAGTTGTTAGGTTTTTATTTTTATTATCCAGAAGAAAATTATTTTATATCATTAAATACACTTTTATTAGTTTTTTTATTTTTACTTTAATTTATTAAATAAAAAATAAATTAAAAACTTCTACAAAACGTTGAACTCTCTACAAAATTAAAATAATTAAATAATGAAACAAAATAATTATTTTGTAATGTTTGATCACTGTTTCTCTGCAATATCAAATTTGTTATAAATACACTTCAGTAATATTGTTATGTTAAAATCCATATTATATTTCAACAATTGTATTAAAATTTTAATCACTCTTAGTTTAAAACTTGGAATTTTTTCTAATTGTACTTCAATAATTGTATTATTGAAATTCTTATATATTTTTCTAAGCATTTATTGCAATTTTTAACACTCGTTGTCTAATGATTTTTATAATGATTTACAATATACTTCAATGTTTATTTTTAAGTAGGTAAGAAATGGAATCTAATATTTTTTTCATTTGTTGTGATAGAAATAATGTCAAAATAAGCATTAAAAGTTTGTTGTTACTTTTTTGTGTAATAAAATATTCCTTTTTTGTGATTTACCATGTTTCTTCTTTTATTTAGTATTTGATATGAAATTTTTATTCTGTTCACAAATAAAATATTCAAAAATGATATCTAAGCTCCAAAAATCACTTTTTTTTCAGGACTGTGATTCATATATTTGTACAGATAACATATTTTTTGATTATCACGAATTTTTTAGTTTTCAAATTTTTCTATTAACAGTTTTATTAATTAAATTTAAAGAGAAAAAAAAAGGTTTCAGACCTTGTTCCCAACTATTTTTGCGGCATTTTAATGAGTGTCTAATATTATATGAAGAGACAAAGTAGAAATAATTATATTAGGAAATCTTTCCCCAAGTTAAAAGCTCGCAACAAGCGGAGAGGAATGATCGAAGTACAGTGACGTCACGAAAGAGTTGTAAGGCCTTCGATCAATCCGTGACCGAAGGTCACGGATTGATCCAGTTTTCTCGCATCTTTTCTTTGATTGTCATCAGGGTCAAATTAATGAAAGTTATAAATGTATTGTTTACTTACAAAATATTTTACTATCCCTGAAACTATTTACACAAGGGAGTGTTACTTTATTACAAAGTGATTCATTGACTAACAATTTTTAGGCGTTTGCTGATAAACAAGAGGAGTTCTAAAATCATTATATGCGGCTACGTTTAAACAAGATAAACTATGTTTAAAAAAAATTTAGCAAAAAGTAAATGCGTATTTTTAAAAAAATCCGAAAAAGAAACACCTGTAAGCGACGAAATAAAAAACTAAGAAGTCGATTGCTAAAAACTTACTCATGAATCGCTTGAACGTACTCTTTGCATCCACCGGATTGCACATTTATTCTTACGCCCATAGCTGTTTCTGAAAGAAAAATTTTAATAATTGTGAAAGTAGAACTAAATTTCGTTAAAAAGTTTAAAAATCAATGAAACCTTCAAAAGTACACCTTGATATATTTCGTAAACTTGTGGTAATTCCTTAATATGACATATTTAATTAATTATTACAAAATTACCAAGAAATATTTACGTTTAACTTGCATTTTAATTTTAAGAACTACAAAAATATATTCTTTTAAAATTTTTACTACTATTAACTAAAAGTATGAACATTTACCGTAGATAGAAGTTTAAGAGACATTTGAAGTCTAGACGTTCAGATGAAAGATTAAATTTTTACCCCATTAAAAATATTCCTGTACATTATGATACTTACCACAAATAATATCTAGAGTACAAGCAGTAATTAGAGGAACAACATCATTCCATGAATCTTTCTCAAGTTTACGAAGACGTGAAACAAGAATATTCGATTGATCAGAAAATACTGGCACAAAATCTTCTAATATTCGAAAATGAAAAGTCGGTGTTAATAGTTTTCTTCGGTNATGTACTATGGAACATAATCAGATATATATATATATATATATATATAAACACGATGGTAAATGTGAACATACCCCGCAATTTGAAGGAATAAAGAAAATAAGCTTTCGTTTTTTATTTTTCCCCTAGGATTAATATTAAAACATTGTTTATACAATACTTTTTTACTTTACATATTTAACATTAAATCTTTGTTAACTGAGGTAACTAATAGTAGGTGTAATTGGCTCATTTTAATATAACAAACCTGTTGGTCATGCAAGGGTCGAAAACCTTAAAGATTTTAGAATGTAACAGAAATAGTTCGATTAAAATGGCAAACAAAACCAAAGACGATCAATCAATTGATACTGAAGAGGTTAGAGATGTCCACATGATTGCTGAACAGGAATGAAAATTAAAGAAGAATTCAGCTTTTTTTTGCATATTTTTAATGTTTTTCATAATTCCACACCAGAAACAGCTACATCCAGATTCATGAATAAAAACATAATAATTCTTGAAGATTTAGACGCAAAACACGCCATTTGGGATTATTCTAGAAACGATGATGGCATTCCACAAATGTTGAATGACAAAGTATTTATATGATCCTAAATAGTGAAAGTAAAAATCACTCTTAGTTATAATACCTTTGAATCAATTTGGATAGTTTTCCGCAATATTAGGCGACAAACTAGTACCTAAAATACATATAAACCAAAGCAGATTTTGTTGCATCATGAGATTCATGTTCAATGACTGTATCCTATCTGAAGTTGACATTTCAAACAATTTTTTTTCACCCTTATCTCTCTGGTATTGTATTTATTGAAAAAAAAGTTGTATATCATGACACCTGCCCCATCATCCATCACTGGTATATGAGATGAGGGGGCAACTTTCTCAAACTCAACTTTTATCCTGTGCTACACTTTTGAAAGTCAACAGTCTTGATTCAGTCCGAGAAGATAAGCCAAAAGAAAAATAAATTAATAAAGGACATGCTGCACCATCCAAAAGATTTTAAAACAGATCAAAAGGTGAAGTGTATGTTAAAAAGTTATTTTCATAAAATAAATACTGTCCCATATAACAGTTTTTGTAATGAAACTAATATTAATAATTAAATAATAAGATAAAATTAAGAGCTTGTAAAAATATTTATAATAGATTTTAATGGAATCATCAATTTTATTAACAGTTATTTTAACATTCCTGTGGATGCAGGAAAATAAACTAGAAAACCCTCTTCATTAAGAAGTAATATAAAAATCAAAACTACGAAATATGTTTAAAATATTTTTATTAAATGAGTAAGAAGACCAGTACCTGGTAAGAAGACCAGTTCCAAGCCATGGGTGCAAAAGGGCATATTCATTGGCTTTGTCAATAGTAACATTACTACTTAATACAGCCTGTGGGGGAAAAAGCAACGTTGTTAATACAGTAAAAGAGTAAAATTATTAAATAAAAAGGATTTTCTTAAAATTTCAGATTAGAAAAATTTCTTCTTGACATTTAATTATCTTAAAGTTACAGACAGAGTGAAAGGGCTACTAGCACATCATGCAGCAACATCAGCCGAGTCATCGACTGGGATTCCAGCTTGACTTGGGAGCCAACAAAATAAAATATTATACCTATTTTTATAAAGATAACAAATGCTGGAAAAAATTTGAAATTGGAGGAGTTTATACTTCAAAATTACCAATTAGCGCAAAATGCTCATACTGTCTGACTAAATGCAATGTTTTCGGGCAGACCGTAATGAAATTAGTCGTAAAACTAAAAGAATAACTACAGCTTCGGCAGTAACCAATTGTCAAAAAGGTGTAAAAAACCAAAAAGAAACTGGTCGAGTTAAAATTCCATAACCAGGAGGATAAAAATAGGCTAAAACGAGCATACACAACTAACTTCATTATTGTAACAAAGAGCAACGACTAACATCATTAATAATCCTACATACGCTAGTCCAATTTGACGGAGAAAACATTATAACAATTCTACATCAACATGGTGACACAACAAGAGTAATAAAATATCTCAAAGCCATCCCGCATAAAAAAAATTGCAGATAAGCAGCATATCGTTGTTAATTCATCGCACAAACTAGCAATCCACCTACTAAAGATGACATATACTTTCATAGGCCTGCAGACGTGTATCGTTAAAAAACGAATAGTCCTTAAACGGTGCAACTGGTGCCAAGGGCTAGATCATCAGAAACACGCTAGATCATCAGAAACACAACTGCACAGCTGACTTTGCAACCTGCAGCGGTGATCATCACACCCACGAGTGTAAATCCGAATATCGATACTGCATAAATTGCTGGCACTCTAACACATACTATGGCACAACATACAATCCCGACCATTCAGCATACGAGGCAACTTTGTCCCAGCTATCAACAAGCTCTATTCCACTATAGATCAAAAAATGAAGACTCTCTGGTCCTTCTTGAACTTCTTCACAGCTGCCTTCCTTAACAATGGAAAACTGTAAAAACGTTTTATTTATTTTCCTTTTCTCTTAATTTTTCATAAATGCTTATTTTATGTTAAACAAAATTTTCTATCTATACCCTTAGAGAGCTCTTCGTGCATTGCAATCACTTACATTATAATCTATTATGTTTTCTAACAGTTATGTTCTAATTACCGTAAACCTTTTTGATGTGTATTCTTCCAAATCTAATAAATACTCGCTGGCCGGACTCGTTTCTAGGCTGGGGTGGAGACGGACCAGTAGCCAAGCTTTGAGCTATATGGTAAAGGGTTCATGACGACCTAGGTACATGTCCAGAGCTTGGAGAAAAGAAAAAAAAGCTTCGGTCGTGAAAATTGTGCAAGCATTAGTAATGTTAAAATTGTACGTAGCATCAGCAATGATAACGCCACAATGGACATGTCCAAGAGATTTTGAGTAAACAGAGGGTCATATTGAGAAACCTATGACGATCAGAAATGCAGAGCTGCTGAAATATGATAGAGATACTTTGGTTTTATTATAGGCGAGTGGTAACTATTCTACGAGCTTTATCAAAACTTACAACTTTTTAAACTTTTCGCTGATTGTATCTCTTTTTCCCGGGACCATTTAGGAAAATTCCAGGAATAAGCAGCAAGAGCAGCCTTGCAGTTCATGCATAGGGTGGCTCGCAGGAATTTTCATCATGGTCGGTACCAGAACAACAAGAAGACAGATTTACCTCGACAGGATGTTTTAGAATGTCAAAACCTTTGACATTTAAATGACTTTCCGTATAAGTCCTTGTGAATTAAGAAAAGGGGGATTTTTGCAAATGAAATATTTGGTACTTCAGGATTCGTCAGTTTAATTATGTACTATCGAACATAATCAGACGGTGTATGGGTTGATCCTCTGTTTTTGCTTTGTACGGAACTCAACACCATGCTAATTTCATTCATAGAAAAATAAAACCACTTTCGCTACCAGCGGCATCACCCACCACGGAGTCCAACTAAGGGGAAGGGGTTACAAATCGTAGATTGGTTCTGACACCGATCCGCTACTTAAACACCGATGCTGACCAATACCCATATGCCCGCGAGTCATTCCTGAAGCAGCCTCCACCCTTAACGAGGTGCCCAGTAAATGTTCCCGGGTAGGACCCTAGTCAGCAGATGACGTTCGTGACTAGCCCCTTGATGCATACAGACCAATATGCATCTCCCGTTTAACAGAAGCACGAGCCCAAAGCAGTGTGTTGAGGTACCGGGATGCCCCTCTACTACCAGGATCCTCTTTTCCAAGGACACGGGTTTCCTCTCTCGGGGAACACGTGGGCCGTCTCTTCCCATCGGGGTCTGATACAACAGGGTGGTAATCGAACACCAACCAATTGGTAAACCAGTCAATTGGGTAATTTCCCTCACCTGTCAATTGGGTAACCATGACAAGGGGGGACAGAAAGAGAAAAGTGGAATAGTAGAGATAACGAAAAGAAAATAGATCACTAGAGCAACCTGGAGTCGTGATTCCCAGTATTTATTCAAAGAAAGTAAATCCCCTGAGGGGTTTCCAGCTTTCAAAACAAGCGCTCATTATCATAAAAAAGGGGAGTAAAAATAATAAAACAAAATAAAGAAACGCAATATTGTCAACAGAAAAATGGAAAAGAAATTAAAGATGAAAAACAAACAAGAAAAATACACGGTACATAAAGATAACCACGATGGCAGGAGGCGACAATTAAGGGTCAATGGCATTTCTAAGCGGTATAGAACCGCTACTAAACAAAGAACCAGCATTCATGTTAATGAAACAAAAGCATCGAGAGGAGCTGTTGTGACAGTGACAGAAAGAATTCTTAGTAATAACTTAGAATAAATATTCTATTTTAGATTACCTGCTTTTTTTTCTACTGGAATCATTCAAAGGTTGGTGAAAGGGATTGCTGGTTTGTTCCGTTTCAGGCGGTAGGTCTTGAAATTACGATAACTAGCTTATAAGAGCGCAATCGTTTCTTTAATATTTTTTTTACTAAGTTGCCGATCAAAGAAAAATAACATTTTCTTAATTCACGAAATCAATTTCTCATTAAACACGAATATTACCAAAACAGGCTTATTAGGTAATAATTGTTAATCAATGGTTATTATTGCAACAGTACGCATGTAGGGCACATTAAGAAACACATTGGTATAGGAAATATCGGGTAAGAGCAGTTCGGACATTCGGAATATCAGGCAAATGTATGCTGAGCAGCAACATATAACTTTGAAACAGTATCGGCTGCAGAGGATAGCATACCAAAGACGTCGACATATCTTCCTCACCTTCGTAAGCCCTGGTGGAATTCTGACTGTTCCACGGCTTACAAGCAACAGAAACGACTATGAAACATCTTTCGTCAGTCCCCTTCAACATCAAATCTTACAGCTTTTAAACAGGCCAAAGCGGTAGCTCGAAAGGTCCGACGCAATAGTCAAAGGGAGTCTTGGCAGCGCTATGTATCATCTAAAACATCTCCCAGACAAGTCTGGTACAGACAAGTCTGGTCAAGAGTAAACCTGGCAAAGATCCTAAGGACCCGGTTAATTATCGACCCATAGCGTAAACCTGTTGCTTTGGAAAGACGTTTGAACGCATGGTTAAGGGGTCTTATACCTTTTAAAATCTAAAAAAAAAGTTTTTTTTATGATATAATTTATTAGAGTTAACTCATGTGCGTCGAATCCAACCAACTGCACGTCCAAATTCAAATTATTAAGCTCACTACGAAAGAAACTGTAAAGGGGCGTAACCTACTTTTTGACAAGTAGAAAACAGCTGATCACTGTTTATATTTTTTCGGACTAGTAATTTGATTTTTTACGACAATAATTCAATTTTAAAAAATAATTATGATTTCGAATTAATGGAAATATTTTGTTTGAAATAGTAACTACAACTTTCATTAATACTTTGCATTCTTTGTATGTTTACATTTTAGCATAAACTGAAATTATTCAATTACAATTTTTTTTCGTTTGCAAAGGATTTTGCTGCTTGTTTTCAGTAAATATCGTATATTTTACATTTTAATTAGCGTATATTAATTATTTAAAACTCTATTTGAGTTATTTATTTGTTACAAGCATATCGAAGCTTCAGAATTAAAACGACATATCTGCAGGCATTACACGTTTGCAGATGTGTCGTTTTAGTTTTGAACCAGCGATATGTCTTCGCAAATCAAAAGAGCTTCAGGCTCTCGTAACATAGAAACGTAAGTTTTATGTAAAACTTCGTTCTAATGCTCAAAGAGAAGATCTTTTGAGTGCATCAGTCAAAAAGCTTGCTAGGAATGATGATATGGAATTGGAGCAAGAAAAAAAATGACTTTTCTGGATATCGAATAATTGACATAGACATTCTAAAAAGCATGGTAACAAATTTTATGTGCTGTAAATTGTGTAACAATAATATAAACATCAGGGAAGTGTGCCAGAGAGGTTTGGCCTCTAAATATATTGTGAACTGTACAAATTGTGGTAACGTAACAGCATTCTGGAATGGTCAAATGCTAGGAGAAAAAAGAACATACCTGAAATAAACACACGGTTTGTTTATGTTATGCATTGTGTGGGACAAGGGCTTGCTGAAATGGAAGCATTTTCCTCTGTCATGGAATTACCACCACCAATAGCTGCTAAATCATATAACAAAATTGTTGACAAAATAAAACTTGCAACATATGATGTTGCACAAAATTCCATGAAGACCTTAGCCGAGAGCGTTGCTTCGAATGGCTCTGTTGAACTTACAGTTAGTGGAGATGGGATTTGGAAAACTAGGGGACATACTGGTGTATGTTCATTAATTGGTTCGGAAACAGGACAAGTTGTAAACGTTGAAGTCATGTATTCATATTGTAAAGGATGTGAGTTCTTGTCGAAGCAACAACATTCTCACAAAAATGAGTGTCAACGTAATCACACAGGATCAGCCGGAAAGATGGAGGTGGATGACATGGTTCCAATTTTCAAAAGATCAGAAAAAGAAAGTGGCATGAAATATGTAAAATATATTGGTGATGGTGACACCAAGACATTTTAAAGTATTAAGAACTGTGAACCATATGGATCTAATGTTTCAATAGAAAAAATTCAATGTGTGGCACATATACAAAAGCGTGTGTGTACACGTCTACGTAATTTTAAGAAAGATTGCAAAAGTAAAAAACTATTATCTGGTGGAAAACCTATTGGTGGCAAAAATAGGTTGACGGACAAAATCATTAACGAAATTACATCTTATTATGGAAATGCCATTCGAGAGCATAAAAATTCATTACCAGACATGCAAAAAGCAGTGACACTGCGTTTCAGAAGGCTGATACTAAAAGTGTAGCTTTAGCGGAACAAAGAACTTTATTTGCAACTAAAGAGCATAGAAAGAGTTTGAGACAATCAAAATCAAGACACGAAGAAAATTTTCTAACTCTCGAAGGTCCCTTTTATGCTGCTGGACAATTCTAATTTTTATTTTTTAAATTTATATTTTTAAAAACTATTTTTCGACATTATAGTTAGGATTCTATAAAGTGTGCAACAGTGTTTCTTTTCTTTTGTGGAAGTTTTGAAATATTTTGTAACTTGTTAATTTTTTCTAACATTATACTTATTTAACCTATTAATTAGTAAACACTACTTATATCTTGGTACATTAGAATTAATTCATCCATAATGTACATTATTGTTTACATTTTGCTGTTTTTCTCAAAACTTGAAATTTTCTTCTTGCGCGCATGATATCTCATAAACCGCTACAAATTTTTCTTCCAAATTTTTACCACACCAAATTTATGTGTATATCTCTAATTTGAATCAAAAAATTAATTAAGAATTAATTAAATTTTTTAACTCAAAAAATTTATAAAATTATAAAAAATGTAATTTTAATTTTTTTTGCCTATTAATAATTCAGATTGCTCGTTATACTATTTTCTGTTTATTTTATAAGTTTCAAGCCTGAATATTCAATATTTATTGAGAAATCCTGCGCGCAAGTCTTGGTGTCAATAATTATGTTTCTCTCGTTAGTCTTTAAATAATTGATCATATATTAAAAATCATTTTAATTAATCTAAGTTTAATTTTATTTGCATACACACACTACTGTTTTCTACACTCACACATTTTTTTGGAATTATTGCTATGAAAATAAGTAAGTTAGAATGATTTAATCAGACATCACATTTTTCATAAAATATAGCTTTTTAAGAGGTACGAGCCCCCTTAATTCTCGGCTTGTATACCACCTCGAAAAGAATCATCTCAACCTGACTTCCAGAGTGATTTTCGTAAAGGAAGATCCACGATTGATAACATTGTTGCTCTTGAGTCTCGAATTCGTAACGCCTTTGTCCGACGTAACCATTTTGTCTCTATCTTCTTTGATATTGAGAAGGCTTACGATCGGACATGGCGTTACGGAATTCTGGAGACACTTTACGAAATGGGACTTCGTGGAAATCTACCAATCTTCCTCAAGAACTTTCTGTTAAAGAGGTATTTTCGAGTAAAACTTGGATCCACCTTTTCTGATCTTTACACTCAGGCAGACGGCGTTTAAGTGTCACATTATTCATCATTAATATTTCACTTGTTTTAAATATATTGCCACTTACTGTCTCTGGCTCTCTCTATGCTGACGACCTGCACATCTCGTCTTCAGGATTCGACATGAGAGTCATGGAGTGTCAACTTCAGTTAGCAGCAAACATGATTTTAGACTGGTGCGACCGCAACGGCTATACCCTTTCACATTCTAAAAGTTCATGCATCCATTTCTGTCGTAAACGCACACTTCATAATGATCCTCTCATCTTCATTCATGGCATCGCTGTACCAGTTGTGCCACATACAAAGTTTTTAGGAGTTACTTAATAGCATGTTAATTTTTATACCTCATATCAAACAATTACGAAAGAGATGCGAGCAGAAACTGAATAAGTTGCGTGTTCTGTCTAATACGTTCTGGAGTGCGTATCGCCTAGCACTTCTACGCATTTATCAAGCCCTGATACTATCACGGCTTGATTATGCATGTATAGTTAATGTAACTGCAACCGCTTCTAACCTACGAGCCTTAGACGCAATACACCATACTGCTTTACGCATATGTAGTGGAACATTTCTTACTTCCCCTGTTGAAAGTCTATACGTTGTTTGCTATCGGATACCATTACATCTATGTCGCATGCAGCTGTCTCTCACTTATTATTTTCGTATCATGTCCTCTAAAACACATCCCTTGAAGAATGATGTTATTTCATCACGCCTGGAGCGACTGTATGTTGTTAGACCATCTAACATTCGCCCATTTCAAGCACGCACTCACTCATTCAAACATTCGATATCTGTGAATTACCATCACAATCAGTGGATCACTTTCTCATACCTCCATGG